TTCTAGGACAGAAAAGAAACTTCTCTTTTCTAAGACCATCTATGCAATGGCCTGCTTTCCAGACTCGGTACAGGCAATGCTCTCTGGATTCTGGGTGGGGGCCTCAAGCCTGGGCTTTGGCTCAGTCTTCCAGGTTCACTAGGAAGACCCTTTTGCTTTGGGAAGAGCCTCAGCTTTGAAGTCCTATTCTCCTTATCTATTAACCCTTTAGCTCTGGCAGATTCTGTCCCAGTGGCCCATGGGAATGGTCACCTAGCCTCATTAGATTAGGGCAGCAGCTCCTTCCTCTAAACTAAATAGAAGCCTTGCATCCAGAACCAAGTTGTTAAAAATATAACACTTCTCAGCCCAAGAGGTCAAGGATCTACTCTTTGACATCCCAGAGGTCCCATTCCAGCTTTACAGAAACCACAGGTCATAGTCCGACCTTTTGAGACAAAGAAAGCTATTTCCTATACTTCTTGCAACAGCTCTACTGATTTCCAGCCAGCCCCAGAGACAGCTCTTGTTTTTCCTTGAATGCTAACAGACTTAGTTCCTTTGGCTTGTCTCCTGCCTGTAGAATGAGGAAGATAGCATTTGTTTGTTCTGGTCCCTTTCAGGCTAAGCTGATGGGTGTTGTGCTGTGTAGTGAGATCCACCCATCACAAGATTGTATAATCACATCCTTGGTAAGCATCCTAGGTCACATGTTTTTCATTGGCAAACAGAATTATCCAAATCTTGAAGCTCTGACTTCATTCTGCACAGTTCATCTTAAAATCCATCTCTTTTTTCTAACATCATGCCATAAGTAGCAAAAAAGAAACCACATTCACATTTAAGATCCGGCTTGGAAATCTCCTGAGCCAGATATCAATTTCATTGTTCCATCTTTTACCAATATTTGAACATAATTTAGGCAAGTTCTTTGTCACTTCATAAAAAGCATTGCCCCTCCTCCACTGTCCAGTTACATGTCTGTCATACTCTTTTAATGTCTAACCAAAACCACACTTACTTACCCAATGTTTTGTTGCTGGGGTCATACGCAGGCTTTAAGATGAGGGAGGCTTTCTCTATTGCTCTCATCACTTCTGAGTCCTCACCAGAACTGCCTGTGATGTCCATAATTCCAACAACAATCTTCCCATGGCAATCTAGGCTTTAGAATTGGGTGTCTTATAACTCTCTCAGTCTCTACCCACCACCTAATTTCAAAATCACTCCTACACTCTAGGGATTTGTTAGAGTAGCACCCCTATCATGTTTTGGAACCCAATTTTCTAATGTCAATATAATAGAAATATCACAAGTGATTGTCTTTAACACAAAGAAATTTATTTTCTCACAGGAGGCTAGAAGTCTGAATTAAGGGTAGTAACAATAAGGGGAAGATTTACCTTTGGCAACTCTGGAAAAAAGCATTTGTCTCTGAGATTGTCCTAGACAATCTTATGTGACCTGCTGTCTCTCTTGCCCAGAAATCTCTATTTCTCTTGTTGAGTTGTTTTTAGGTCTCAAAAGACAATGACTCAAGAAAAACGCTACATGAATCCTACCTACTTTACTCAGATAACTAAGACACCACATAACTAAATAGGAGTACAACCACAGGCATAGAGACTATGGTTTCCAGCAATACTTTTTGGGAGACCTAATTCAATCCCTTAATAAGATGGATTGACTCAGTGACTGGGTTAACGGGAGTAGGTGTGTTATAGACAATATGACTGGCTCACGATACAGGAGGGTTCAGAGCTGTTATACATAGGGTCGCTATGAGTCGCCAGCAACTCAATGGCATGTAAGAACGACAACAATTCAATCCATAGGAGCTATTTCATGTACACTACAGCAACTCGTGGGAGCTCTGGTGGCCTAGTAGTAAGATATGTTGCAATCCCAAAGGCACACAGTTGAATCCAACAGATGCATCATGGGAGAAGGATGGCAATTTCTTCCCGTGCAATTTAGTGCCTTTGAAAACGCACTGGAGGATCAGCTCCATACCAACAGCAGACAGTAGCAACAGCAACTTGTGGGTTCTCATTAGTAGAGATGGATCTGACAACACATCATGGCAACACATCACATAATAGGGCTCTATAACCAGAAGCAGTTGAAAAATATGACTCTCTGATTCTAAGCTTTCACACAAATATTTTTTTTAAATTAATCTCTTTTAAACTAGAGAGATCTCCTCCTTCTGACATTCCACAACTCCACATCTTGGTTTATCTGATATTCCAGCAGATATCATATAAATATCTTCTTTTGTCTCAATGACATTTAAGTACAAGAAAATTACAACCCCTAACCCTCTCCATTTCTTCGTACTAATGTGGTGCCTTTCATATTGCGGACATTCCAAAACTGCCTAACTTGATTAAGTCATGGTTTACTCTGTGAGAAAATTTAAGAAATAGGAGAAGTACTGAATATAAATATATAATTTGAATGAAAGAGACAGCTCAATTAATTTATTTATCTTATGGCTAACAATGAAAAGAACGCAAATCCCAGAACACTTAATTGTGCTCATACGAAGTCTATCAACAAGCTGTTGTCCAAACAGAACAACCACATGACTTCAGATCAGGAAGGGTGTGCATCAAGTTTATATCCTTTCTCCATACCTATTCAATCTTTACAATAAGCAAATTATTCAGGAAGCTGGACTCTATGAAAAGGGACATGACATCAGGATCAGAAGAAGAATAATCAACCTGTGTTACACAGATGACACAACTTTGGTGGCTAAAAATGAAAAACTTGAAACACTTGCTGCAGAAGATCAAAGACTACAGCCTTTAATAAAGTTTATGTCTCAGCACCAAGCATACAAAGGTCCTCACAAATGGGTCAATAAGCAACATCATGATAGAGAAAGGACTGAATTGTTGATAATTTAATCTTACTTGGACACACAATCAATACCCCCTTGATACCAGCAGTCAGGAGATCAGGGAGACTTATTGCACTGTGCAAGTTCACTGTCAGGGATCTCTTCATAATACTGAGGAGTTTGTCAGTTTGAACACTAAGATGTGCCTGATTCAGGCCATCATCTTTTCAATCATTTGCTATGCATCTGAAAGCAGACAATGAATAAAGATGACAGAAGAACTGATGTTTTCGAGTTGTGGTGCTGGAGAAGAGTACTGAATATTCCATGGGCTGCCAAAAGAACAAATATATGTGTCTTGGAAAACATGCAGCCAGGAAGCTCCTTGGAGGCAAAGACAGTGAAGCTTCATCTTTCATACTTTGGGCATGTTGCTACAAGAGGCTATTCCTTGGAAAGGGACATCATGCCTGGAAAGACAGAGGATCAGCGAAAGAGAAGAACACCTCCCAATGAGATGGATTGACACAGTGACTGTAGCAATAGGCTCAAGTATGTGGGAGGTGAAAAGATGGTATAGGATAGCACAGGGTTCAAATCTGTTATTCACAGGTTCAAGCCTGTTGTTCCCAGAATTGCTATAATGGAATCTATAGCACCTACCACCACCAGATAAATACAATAGAAATCATGTTAATGGAAAAAATATTCTCCTGAGTTCAAAGGAAAGGATCTTGGTGGTGTGGTGTAGTGTATTACAAATTGGTCACTGCTGACCAAAAAGAAAAATATATGAACCCATCAGTCACTGCTGGGGGTAAGATTAGGCAATCTCCTCCTGCGAGGATTGACTCTAAAACTCAAAGATGTAGGTTCATCATGAGTTGAAAGTGACTCGATGACAGTGGGTTTGGTTTTCAGTTTGAATTCCAATAACCTAGAATTAGACTTGATGTTCACCTAAGAAGGAGATGGTTACAAACATAGTATCTTACCAAACTGACAAAATTGGTTTTTTTCCTGGTTTTCAGTTGGAAAGTCCTAGATTGTTATGATTTATGCCAAAGAAATATTATTTCAAATCATACACTTTAAGAGTCCTTTAGGAAAAGAGAAGGGAGTAAAAATTAATTTTAAAAAGATTAAAAAGAGCAAGAATTTAAAAAATAAAAAAGAGCAAGTATATTTTAAAAATACTAAAACTGTGAATGGAAAAAATAGATGCAATGCACTAAGGTAGGTAAAGGAAAAGGCTATATTGAATAAGTGGATGATTAGATATAGTTGTTGTTGTTGTTTGGTGCTGCCGAGTTGTAGACCACTCATAGTGACACAATTAATGAACAGCCTGAGCACTGTTCGTACATAGAGTTTCCAGAGGCAAGCCATTTCAGAAGTGGATGCCGCTCCTGCTTTCTTAGTCAGGAAGCTCCAGCCAACACTGTCCACCATGGGTACCCATTACCACAATCTTCAGCATCACAGCAACCACGAGTTACATCTGTACAGCAACGCACAGACCAGTGCTATACCTCCTAGTAGAATGTTTGACAGGAAAACAATTTTAACCTGGCCGAGGGTTGCAGATGAAAATCGTGGCAAGTTTTTGGAGTCGACTGCTTTTCCAGGCATGTGTTTGTTACGTGCAGGTTTGCTCTGTCCCCGGGAGCAAGGCTAGCCAGCCTGGGTCTAGGGTTTGAACCAGGAGGCAGCCTTAAGCCCAAAGACAGCTGGGAGAGGAAGTGGCTATGTTGTTCCTGGCTGGTTCCTCCCAGGGTCTTGGGAAGTTCTCCTTGACAGAAGGAGCATGGTGTGTGAGTGCAGGAATTAGACATAGTAGGTATTATAATTAATGTTACAAAAATATGCATAAATGAAAAAACCAATACGCTTTGCAAACTTTACTCAGATCACAGTAAAAATCTTTAAAATAGTCTTTCACGCAAAAATATACTAGGAAACTCCAAAACATAATTATTTCAGTGTTTCATAACACACTTATCCAAAAAAAGCAATATTTTAAAAAATCATTCTTTTCCTGCTAATCATTCTGTGAAAGACTAAGGCAGAAAACTATGCACATTTCCTCTTAAATTACAGAATAAAATGACTTATTATTTATGGAGAACTCTTTTTAAAACAGCCTCCAAAGCATGACTTGGCAACAACTTACAGTTATGGCTGTGAGCGTTCAGCTCACTGTGGCTGCTGCCAATGGAGGAGCTGCTGCCTGCACTCCGCAGCTTCGCGCTTTTCAGAGATGTTCTGGATTTAGGAAGAGGAAGAGGTCGAGGCAAATTCACCCAAGAAGGTGGTGAGGTTTTCAAGGATGAAGGTTTTCCTTGGGTTAAAAAAGAAAAAAAAATTCAGTTATTCATTTTGGAAGTTGAAACTTTATGGCTATAATCTTGAACCATATAATTCCGCTTGCTGAAACTGAGGAGGACCTAAAGACTTTGTTGCAATATGTTAAGGACTGTAGCCTTCGATATAGATTGAAGCTCAACATCAAGAAAACAAAGATTCGTAAAACAACCCAGAGGTAGATGGAATTTGCTCCAGGACTTAAGAACAGTAAATGACATAGCTGAGCCTCTACATCTTGTAATTCCTAACCTCTACACTATAATAGACAAAGTGCTAGTCTATAGGCCTTTTATTGTAAGAACCACCTTCCCTCTGTAACTTGATTTATGCCACTATTAGAACCTCTACTCAGAATATTATTGCTTTTTAATTTTTGACTCATGTACTTTTAACTTTTTAGTTAAATTTGTGTCTTCTAGGCTGCAACACTTCCATGATACATCTTCAAGGATATGAACACGTGCGGCTAAGCACAACTGATAACAGTGAATCTAAATTCCAAAATCAATCTCCATAATAGTCTATGTGTTTCCTACTGCCAACGGGGCCCTTTAGAGTAGTGAGAGAAGATCTTCAGCCTGAAACCCACAGCGTCCCTTTTCAGCAGGAAGTAGCTAAGAGAATACGCCATCCCCTTTCCTTATGAATCAGGGTGAAGTCTCTCTCAGGGAGGAGTGATAGGGAATGGCAAAGGACACACTGACAAAGGAGATTAATCAGAACTGGCTTTGACAAGCACTGTGGCAATTGGACAATTAAAACAGACTTTCAAGGTGGGGGAAAAAAGAACAAACTGGGGAGGAGGGTAGAGAAAACAGTGCAACAATGAATGAATGAAAACCCAAAATCTCTGTAAATGTTCATTAAAACTAATAAAATTTAACAATAATAAGGAAAAAAAAAGAAAACAAAGAGAAAAAAGAAGAAGATGCACTGCCATCCCAAGGGCACATGGGGTTTGAATTTACCAGCTGCTCCAAGGAGATAGACGGGCAATATCCTCTTGTATGATTTACAACCTCTGAAAACCTGCTGGAGTGTCAGCTATGAGTCAGTTCTGACACAACAGTATATAACTACAACAACAACGAGAACTTAGAAATATTTTAATGTTATGAAAAATATCCAAAAATTATAACTATTGCTCAGATTCATTAAATAAATACAAAAATTAAAAAAAGAAAGAAAGAAAACAAAGATTCACCCTGGACCAATTGCCAGCATCATGATAGATGGAGAAGAGAGTGACATTGTTCACAGCTTCAGCTTGTCTGGCTCCACAATCAACACCCTTGGTACCAACAGGCAGGAAAGTAAGTGACAAATTGCATTGAGAAAAAGTCTCCTGTCAGGGACATCTCCAGGGTACTGAAGAGCAATGAAGTCATTCTAGAGACTAAGGTGGATCTTATGCAGGCCATGGTCTTTGCAATTTATTTGCTATGCACCAGAGAGCTGGACAATGTCTAGGGATGACAGAAGGAACACTGATGCCTTTCTGCTGGAAAGAGTATTGAATATACTATGGAGGGCAAAAAGAACAAACAGGTTCATCCCAGAGAGGATGAAACCAGGCTGCTGCTTGGTGACAAGGACTCTGAAGCTTCATCCCACATACTTTGGGCATGCTGCAAGGACGAACCAGTCTTTGGAGAGGGACATCACACTTGGAGGAGTTAAGGGACAGTGCAAGAGAAGACGACCCTTGATGAGATGGACTGACTCAGGGACTGGGGCTGCTGTACATAGAATCACAGGCAACTCAATGGCACATACCAACAACAGCAATTTTAGTCAAAATGCTAATATGCAGAGTTGTGAGTATTGAGATGAAAAACAAAGGTTCTCTTAGGCCTGTTTATTTTTTTTTTATTTTTTTGTATCTTAGAGATAGAAAAGCAGGATGAGGTAACTGGAATAGGAAAAGGGTGGCTGGAACACTGTTACCTGCAGTAAATAACTCTTAAGTCTTAGAGCCCTGGCTGACAGAGGCTTTTGGCAAAGCTTGAACACAACAATAAAGCTCCCCTCAAAGCTGTTACTGCTGTTAGATGTCACTGAGTCGATGCTGACTCATCGCAACAAGAAGTTAGTTCATCAATAACATGAATCGGTCATAGAATAAAATAACCAAATAGGCAAATATTTAAAAACAGTAAGGAAGAACAATAGCATCTGATGTGGAAAACTTGAAAATACTTAACACCAGGTGGCGCTATAACATCAGTATTCTTTTTCATTAACTCCATCGACTTCCCATAGTTTGGTCTTCACTCAAATCACACACTCATGAGGACTGGAGGTAGACTCATCAACCTGGAGGTAGACTCATCAACGATCTGCGTTATACAGATGACACAACCCTGCTTGATGAATCTGAGGAGGATCTGAATAGTTTGCTGCAGAAGGTCAAGGACTGCAGCTTTCAATATGGATTGAACTTCAACATCAAGAAAACAAAGATTCTCACCACTAGGCCGACTGGTGGCATCATTATGGATGGTGAAGAGATTGAGATGGTTAACAGCTTAAGTTTGCTTGACTCCACAATCAACACTCTTGGTACCAGCAGCCAAGAAATTAAAAGACGAACTGCACTGGGAAAGTGTGCCATTAGAGACCTCTCCAAAGTACTGAAGAGCAACGATGTCAGTCTGGAGACTAAAGTGTGCCAAAATCTTTGCAATTCCTTGCTATGCATCAGAAAGCTGGAGAATGATGAGGGAAAATAGGAGAGTAGATGCCTTTGAGCTGTGATGCTGGAGAAGAGTGTTGAATAGACTGCTAGGAGAACAAACAAGTATGTCCTAGAGAGGGTGAAGCCAGGCTGCTCCTTGGAGGCAAGGTTCTGAAGCTTCATCTGACATACTTTGGACATGTTGCTAGGTGGGATCAGTCCTTGGAGAGGGATGTCATGCTTGGGAGAGCGGAGGGAAAGCACAGAAGAGGAAGACCCTTGATGAGATGGATTGATTCAGTGACTAGGGTAATGGGGGTAGGTATGTCTGAGACAATAAGATTAGCACAGGACAGAGAAGGGTTTAGGGTTGTTATACATAGGGTCACTATGAGTCGCAGGTATGTCGACAGCACACAACAAAAACAACAATTTTGTAGCAAATAGCATAGTCCAGAAGGAGTTGCACCACTAAAGTTCAAATCTCTTAGGTGGTTAGATATCGCCAGCACTTCCATAGGCAAAAGATAGGCTATGTCCTCCCGTGTGATTTAAAGCCTTTGAAAAAGTCACTGGAGGGTCAGCTATGAGTCAGTTGTGACTCACTGGCATTGAGCTGAGGACTATGTAGCAAAAGCATTTCTATTTAACAATTAGATATGTGTACTTGATTTTCTCTGGTATCTTTTAAAATAGAAATTATATTAGCTGAAAACTTTGAAAACATTTCCTTAGTTCAAATTACTTAGAACTAGTTGTAGTATTCTAATAGTTCACTTAACACTAATGTGAGCATTGACGCTTATACCTGTTATCAAAATAAAAGAGATTCTCAAGTTCAATCCTCTTCACACCTATTTCTTTTGAAACATTATTTGCTTTATATCAACTAACTCTATAGAGTGCTCTGAAGTTCAGTGGTTAAGGAGTTATGCTGCCAACTCAAAGGAAGGAGGTTTGAATCCACCAGCCAGCTGCATCTCAGGAGGAAGATGGGGAATCTCCTCTTATGGGATTTACAACCTCTGAAAACCTACTAGAGGGTCAGCTATGAGTAGGTTCCAACTTGGCAGCACAGAATACTCTATATACAACTTACATATACTTATAAATTTTCATCTGTAGTCCTATCCATTGTTTCTAAGTCCAGAGTCCCTCTTACTTTTCAGTATTCCTGGACAATGAATAAGGATGACAAAAAAAGAATTGATGCCTTGGAGCTGGGGTGTTAGAGAAGAGCACTGAACATCTCCTAGACAGCCAAGAAAATAAATAGATATGTCTTGGCTAGAGTGTACAGCCGGCGTGCTCTTTGGAGAAAAAAAATGATGAGGTTTCACCTCACATACTTGAACATATTGCTAGGAAGAGCTATTCTTTGGAGGAGAACATGATGCTGGGAAGAGTGGAGGATCAGCAAAGGAGAAGAAGACTCTCAACCATGTAGATTGACAAGGTATCTGCCGCCAATAGGCTTTTGTGTGTCAGGAAGTGTGAGGATGGTGTAGGACAGGACTAGATTCAGACCCTTTGTTCATAGGGTCACTATGAGTCATACTCGGCTCGATGGCACCTAACAACAACAACAGATACCTTTCTAAAGCATCTAATACTATTAATGAGAGATTAATTTTTTCCATTTCCCCAGGCTTATAATATTGGCATTACATTTTACTTTCCAAGATTACCACCTCTAGCATAATTTTTCAATGCTAGTTATACCAGATACCTGAGGACTTTGAGATTTGAAAAATAACTTAGATGAAAATGATACTGTTATTTGTTGCTAACTGGATCATGAATAAAGCCCCTTGGAAAGGAATGCTCAATGCTATGTCTCAGTGATTTAAAATTTCCCTTAACAGAGACAAAAGAGCTCCAGATCTAACATGTAAGTAACACACCTTGAGATATTACTTCTGTTTCCAGTCTTATCACTGTACTAATACTTTTATACTAATGTGAATCTGCTCCAGTCAAGTAAGCAAATCACATAGCATTCTAATTTGTTGTTGAGCATCATTCAAAGAGTTCATTTTTTTCCCCTCCATTCAAGTCCTAAAAATCATTATTCAGGTCCTTCTATTTTGCCTAATGACTTGTATCAGACTCCTACCATCCCATCCTCCTATCCTTTATCCTTTCATAATCTCCCAAACATGGCCAAATCTAAAATGTCCCATTATCTCTTGATAATGCTATTCTTTTTAATCCATGCTGTTACTGTTGTTGTTTGGTGCAGTACAGTCGCCTCTGACTCAAGAGTACCTCTCACCCTCTAAGCGACAGATCAAAAC